AATGGCAATCACTCAAACCGTAACACGCGTGATGATCACAGTCGAGTCTTGACAATTAAATGAGGGCGATTTGCGAGGGTATTTTGTACAAAATGTGTTCGTAAATCCTACTAATAGATATTTATTTTGTTCGTAAATCTTGCCCAAATTTCGTAATTTACGACATTTGCGAGCGACAGCGAGAGCACAGGTGACCTGATTGTGTGCAAGGCAACGTACTGCATTTTACATCGTGTGTGCGTGTATTCATACAAAATCACTTGATTGGGGTTCTCTAATAACACTGATGCCCCCAAGTGCATGTTACATTTTTGAGGGGTGACCGGAACAGACAAAGAGAGGATGAGAAATAATTTTTTTTTAGGATTTCTACATAGACAGTCATGTATTATATGCGAGAAAGGTAGGGAGGGCGGCAATGACAATCTTGTGTGTCCCTGTCACTTCCCTAAAAAATTACCATGTACGAATACCAGATTGGGAAAAAAGTGGAATTCTATCACATGGCGTCCTAGACAAGGACTGCTACATGAATGTTTGACTAGAAATGTAATCACTATTAACTAATAACATACCCCATCTTCTCTGATGGTCAAAGACTTCTTTTCACTTGACAGCAAATCTTTCAACTCTTCATTGTAAAGCTCTGAGTATGAAACTCTCAAAAGAAACTCGCGATCTGGAGTCTGCAAAATAACAAGGGTGAAAATTTAGTGCATAGACTTGTATTTTAAATTTCTATCTATAAAAGACTATCCTGTTGGTCAAGTAACCATGCGCACAATTAAAACTGACCAATAGGAATACAGTGCCTAATAACACCAACAAGCCAACAACATCCCAAACTTGATCACTAATTATCTTCTAGAGAACAAAAATTAATTTGATGCATGAAGCAACCTTTAACATAACGACTAAAAAAATCGCCAATGCAATGGGATTTATTAAAACTTGGATGGGAAGTTTAGTCAGCTTGTTGACTGCCGGGAGGGTTGACGCGACTTGGGAAATGAACATTGTGGCCCCTGATTTTTTTTTTAATTCAGATTACACAAATTCAAATTCCTTAACTATAAGTAAGATTTGTTTTTGAAATCATTATATTATGCTTTTCTGTTGCATCAATGATGCGTTAAACACAGCAAAAATATTTAACTTTTTAGCAAGGCGAACAAATTGTGTAATGGGCCATTCCAGTTTATATCTGCACCCCCCCTGTTGATGAGTCGGATTTCCAGCACTGTATGATGGGGAAAATACCCCGGAATTCCAACTGTATATGGAGAAACAGAATCTGGAAATCCAGACGTGTATGGAAAATTTTTCCTGGAAATCCA